CCCCAAAACCCCAAAACCCCAAAACCCCAAATTGATAAATTTCTTGGATTTAGGAGAAAAGCATTTTTACCTTATAAAAAAAATAATAATACTAGTCTAATGGTTAAATTAGTTGTGACAATATTAATTTAATGCAAACTAAATAAGATTTTATCACAGACTGAACATATAAATTTGAATATTTTCACATATCGGAATCATATTCTGTCTCACTGCTTTGTTCCTCATCGTCACTAGAGTATCTGTTGAGCTAAATCTTTTTCTTGCTATAGGACTACCGTAGCTGCGCATCAGTCAAGTCTGATTTTTTAATTTCAATTATCATCAATTTCGGATCAAAATGACCTTTTATCCCTGCGCTTAAACCATTCTAGCTAATAATATTTTGATTAGTTGCGTTACCCTGGATACTGTCATAGTTAAAAGGGTCTCTACAAACATTAGTGCCAGATTATGATGAGCCTTTATAGACAGTGCTATTCATTTGAGAGGGATTTACTTTTTTGTCTCTTTAAACTTAGTCTAAGGCAGCCTTTTCTATTTTTTCAAACATTCTTAGACATGCTTCTCTTGCCTCATCCATTGTTGCATCCAATTCAATTTAATTTATAGCCCCTAAATCATACTCCTCATTGATAATTTATATGAGTTAAGGTTCACCGCATTCAGGATTACTGATTTAGATTTCAATTTAAGGAATATTTGTTTGCAAATTTCTCATTTTTAGAGTAAATTTCCCTGCTTTGTCAAACTTCTTCGACTCGTAGGTCATAAAATCTTCAAGAGCATCTGTTTCATATTTTCCTTACATTTCCTTCTCATTGCACAGCCTCTTGCCTTAGAATACTATCTAACATGGTTAGGAGTCTTAGCTTTGCTTTTCATTCTCCTTGGTTTCAGCGTAGATGTAATTCATTTCAAGAGGATGATTGTGAAGACCTCGAAATTTAGATAGGTAGTATATACCATATTATCCATCATCTTAACTGAGTTCAGCTCCATTATGATTTGGTATCTAATTCGCTGGATGTAATGATGGATCCTTTCCAATGTATGCCTTTTTATATATCATTGAGAATGGACAGCCAGTTTTTCTTGATAATGTTGAATTCGGTTTCCTCTTGCCAGATCTATAGCAATTAAAGCATTGTTTATCACTTGGTTTCCTATGATTCATGTTTAAAAAGTAAATTAGTTACCCATAAGGTAAATTAAGTTTAAAGCCTCTTTCAGCCGCTTTAGTCCTTAAGTGATGAACTAGTTCCTCACGGTTTCTCAGCAAATGTAATCCGATTGCAAATTCAAGGAAATCAGGAGTCTCAACCCAAATATCAACATTTTCCATGTTCAAATAATCGAATTTTTCCCTCAATTTCCTTGGGACAGGGATTCCTTGAATTGGAGGGACAAATCCATCTAACTCAGAAAACTAAATTTGAAATTTGAAATGAAAATATTTTACCTTTGAATCGTAGGCCCAGTGATTATAATAGTATTGACATTTTGTAGGCACTTAAATGGGTCTGACAGTTTATGGGATATTTTCTTTATTGTAGTTATAATCAATCAATGAGTTATTTTGATTTACAACTTGATTTTTGTTATTCTAGTCTCCTTGAGGAATTTATTGTTATTAATAATTTTCTTAATGAAAAACTTATTTGATGTTTTGTGAAATATTTTACGGGTGACCAAAAATATCGAAGTATCCAGGCATATCTCACTTTCTTAGTAGCTGCTAGCTTTTTTAATAATTAGGCTGATAGCTATATGAATTTGTTATGTTATTGCTATATTAACTAATCAGATTCTGACTCATTATAGCAAGCTAATCATTCTTATTAATTTCACTGATAGCTTTTATCCTTTATTAGGTCAACTCATTTATCAGAAATCCCTAATCTCTGAAGTGTTAAGGAAGAGAAAACTTTTAGGTTAACATTTCTATGAATGTCTTTAGACTTTAATGCATATTGCGGTCTAACATTAGCAGAAATCTTTCGTTGCTTGGAATCCTTATTGAAACTCTAATCCGAAATGGCTGATTGTTCAAAGGCTATAAACATTTATCGATTAATTAGTTAAGTTCCTAAGTAATTGGAATATTTTCTGTATTATTTGTGTTATTGCATTTTTAAGTTATTAGTTGGGTGTTATTGGGAACTATCAGTTCAGGAGTCTTAAATTAAAGTTATCCAAAAATATCATCCTCCTTATCTTTTTGTGATAAGTTTGGTTATTCTGAGGCTAGGTGGTTACTAATGAACATTTCCCGATAAATTTCTATCAGATTAAATTAATTTCAATAAATAAATTTAATTAAACCAATTAGAATTTTGATTTAATCCTATGGGGTTTTGGGGTTTTGGGGAGATCGGAAGAGCACACGTCTGA